CTGGGACTATGGTCACATATCAGGGACACTTGGCGCAGTTGGTGTAGCGCAGTGGGCTTTGACAGGGAGTCGGTCGTTCGAGTCGCAGTGCAGCACAATTTTTATGAATATGCCACAGAATTATAGACTGGATTATCCGTGTGGTTGATCGGGCGGGTAGGCAAGGGGATAATCGACATTGGGGCAAAGCGTCCCGGTGGGAGTGGGGGATAATCCAATGATATAGGGCGGATAAAGTGTGATAAACGCTACGATAATCGCTCTACGAACTGGACATCGGAAACTATATGGATTAAAATCCCATCCTTAATGGGCGGGATGATCGGTGAAATGCATTAATAAATGCGAGTTGATTAACGAACTAAGTGAAGTCCCTGGGTCATCGAATCCAAAGCGGTCCTTGCGTGGACCCTTCGACGAGTGCATCGTCGGTACTATGCGCTCTGTAATTACAGGAGCAGAGCTGGTGACGGCTCGCCCTTGGTGTCGAACCGGAATTTTCACGGCCATATTGCCATTCCCTCCCCCTTCCGATGACCCTTGCGGTCCTGCATAGCGCGTATGGGGAGGTTCCACTTTCGTGGACTTCGCCATGCTCCCCTATTGGACCAACGGTCCGTTCTCGGTCACCCACTTAATAGGTTCCTTGAACGACCGTTTTGGTGTCTTGGAGGAAATGGCCTCCTCCTTGAATAAGGGAATGCTCTGCTTCCCGACCAACACCCGGTTGTTCGCAAAGTCCAGTACAATACCGTACTTACGACAGAAAACTGTCCCCAATATTGCGTCGTACTTGTCGATATCGACGACATCGAAATAATGTGTATTACGCACTGAGTTCAGTGCGATTTTGGCTTGCGCCCCGAAATTGATCTTCGTACGACTACCCTTAGTCCCCAGCTGGAGGCCTACTGGCTCCTGCAGGTCAATCCTGCCCGCCTTGCACAGATACGCAAACTCCGGAGTAATGGAGTCGGTAGTGCAGCCCGAGTCGAATAGCACTAATGCTTTAATACCGTTGATCGGTATCTCCGCACATAGCGTGCGTTGAGCCTCGTGTACCCGTTGGGGTTGGGCCGCCGGGTCCTCAATCTTGCGGACTTTTGCGTCATAGATCCATGCGTGACGCAGACCGCGTTCATTGGCAATAGCCATGCTGTAGATCCTTGGCTCATTTGCCGATCCTTCTGAGGCGATTGCCTCAACTCGCATGCTTGCCATATACACGGCGTCGTCGTGTTCGAAATCCTCCCATTCCGACTGGGCTTGTTCGTCCGCAGATTCGTATTGCGATCCTACGAATTCGAATTCGGACTGAGGGAGGTCCTGGACCGTTTCGGCCTCTGGATCCAGTCCCTGGGTGTCCTCCGGAGTGCCTGCGTCATCGGCCAGGTCGAACTCGACCGTCTGTGTCTTGATGGGTGCGTCCGGTTGTTCATTGTCCGAAGTGTCGTCCACTACCCGTTGCGCGAACATGCGCTGACCAGGAGTGGTCTTCTTGCCATGGTTGGGGCAAGCCGGGTCTGATGCGAAATGCCCGATTTGCCCGCATGAGAAGCACTGCGATGCTGCCTTGGTGGCTGCAGGCTTCGGGGCGGGACGAGATACCTGCCCGGGAGTGGGTCTTGGTCGATCGGTGCGACCTGGAGCCGTACGAGACGGACCCTGTCGCCTTACGGTGGACGAATTCGTCCTAGGCGAGGGCTCCGCCGCGGGAGGTCTTCGTGGCTGGGTGTTGTTCGAACGGGTGGTGCGATGGTTGTTCGACGACGAGGGATTGTTGGTTCCCGGGGTGGTGTCGCGGATGCGACGGCGTTGTTGTATCGCCCGGGAACTCTGCTCGATCTCGAGGGCAGCCTGATAAAGCTGAGATAAACTATTATATTTAACGGAGAGGCCGTTAAGTACAGTGAGAGTATTCTCATAGCTGACGGGCAACGTCTCGATAAACTTGCAACGTATCTGGAAGGGAGAGGGCTTCTCCCACATCTTCTCGGTGATGTACAGTAAGTGTTCGTACAACGCGGCGACACCGCCCTTATTGGGCTCGAATCTCAGATTATCATACTCCTGAGAAGCTTGGAGATGATTATCTCGGTGGATGAAACGTCGGAATAAACCGACTATGGCTTCCTCGAACAACCACTCCCGACGTTCACGGGAAGGAGATTGTACCGTATTGTACAGCCAAGTGGCCGCGTCGTCGGCCAAGCAGTCGCCCAGTATTCGTAGACGATCACGGTCCATGGAAGGGCCAGTTATCCGGAGTGTACGGAAAAATTCGAGAAGGTTATGAAACCAAATCTCGAAGGCGTCGAGATCATCCTTGCCCGCATACGGCTTCGGGAGGGTCATCTTCGTGACCTTTAAATAGGCCGGCGGGCTGGAGGTAGGTTCCTCTCCGACCATTTCGTCAATCATCCCAAGAAGCCGTTGGACTTCACGGGTGTCGCGAGGTCCGTAGCTGGGACTGGTGTACACCAGCTCCTCGGACCGGTTTAGGTCCTGCTCAGGGACAACTGGAAGTCCGGGGTGTACGGAGACACCAGGGGCCATGGACCGACGCGGTCGCAGTACGAACTGTTGGGGTATCGCCGTAGACGTGGCAGGTCTATGATCTCTCCGGGGAACCTGCGACACCGATTCGTACTGATCCCAGTCCGGAGGTGCGGTGATGTTCGACGGTTCGAACTGTCCGAAAGCTACGCTTCGTCGGGGCTGCTCTGCACGAATGGGTGCGGGGCCTCCGGGAGCGGGGGATACAATGCGGGAAGGACCCGCTATGGGACCGACTTGATCAAGTCCAGCCCGGCGTAGTCGTTCCACACGATCGTACTCCATTTGTTGTTGGCGCACCTCACTGGGTGTTGGACTCGGGGGGCCAGCCAGGTGGGCCTCCACCTGAGTGGCGTCAATAACGTCCTCGACGTTGTTTCCGGTACCCACTGTATGGTCCACCCCTTGTTGGGCCATTTCTCTCATTTCTCGCTCAAAAGCAGCGAGCTGGTCATTGAGCTCGGCCTCCGCGAGCACGACTTGCTCTCTCAACGCCTTATAGCGTTCCGACGAGTCGCGCAGGAATCCCATGATTCGTAACGCGGGCGCGGGCTGAATCGTCTCTCGCCACTGCGAGTTCTGCCTAATATCGGCCCATGTATCACCGATCTGCTCGAGATCCTCAGTAAGATTACTGGTGGATCCAGGACGCGGAGCGTCCGTAGTGGGGGCCCTGTGAGGCTCGGCATGTTGGGGAATGCCCCCTGGGGCCGAGCGTACAGACCCAGTGCGCGACAGTGCGCGCGGAGCCTCGGGTTCCAGTGTATTACGTCGTGGCGAATTCGCAGGAGCTGCCTGTGGCGCTGAGGGTGGATTGGGCAAGAAACTTCGTGCGGGATCGCCCCGGGGAGATGGGGGTTGGCCCGAAGGCCCAGGAGCCGCGGTTGGCGGCGGGTTTGCGTCGCCCGAAGTGGCAGGTTGCGAAGAACCTGGTTGGTTGCCAGGGGCTCGCTCAGGGCGGCTGGAAGTTCCAGAAGGCTGCGTGGGGTCCATATCAGGACGCTGTCGTAAGGCGTCCGAGTTCTGATGACGTGGTGACGTCGAGCTCTACTGATGCTTTGAACGAATGTTCGTTCTCGCGGCTAGAGTAAAAAAGTGTAAGTATACTTGACCTCTACCGGTCCCCGGTATCCCGCAAGTACTCTGGACCGGGCTGTATTGCTTGGCGTACTCGTAGGATGGTGGGGTTGGTAGAAGTCAACCCCACCAGACGCCCAAGACCCGAACCTTGGGGTGTCGTACGCTTATGTAAAGTACATGACGTAACGCATCTAATCTACGGGCGCCTATGCGCCCTGGGTCTCCGAGAACCTCGGAGACCTCGTTCTCCTTTACTCGATGACGGTTAGTGGTCCTCCGCGCACGACCTAGCACGGTCTGGTTATGAAAGAACCGACGGGTTCTTACACGCTGACCCTCAACCTAGTGTGCCGACTTTGAAACTAGAACCGATAGTCAGCGTGTGTAACATCACTGGAAAACAGTAGATTACTTCAGAGGGCGTGACTGAATAGTCCTGTTGGCAGCTGCGCAACAAACCACGTAAATGCCTCCAATGCTAAGCAGCTTACCGACCGCCGAGCCCAGAAAATACCATTAGACAGAACCGAGCATATAGCAAAGATGTACAACTTGAAGAGAGACACTATATGACTGCTGGAATACTATACCGAGGGGATGTCCATGCACTCACAAATAAACGTATCGCTGGCAAGTTCGACCGCATCCCGAAGATGTCTTGCGCGCTTGAACTGGCCCAGTGCGGATTTCCATTGGTTCGAGTTCTTCGGTCGTCCTTCACCACATCGATACCTCGAGAGCATGACCTGGAACCAGGCCTCGCACCACAGGTTCCAGGAACCGACATTGAAATCCGACTTGGCCCAGATATTCGGCTTCGGCCACCACGAAAGGTCTTCCGTCTGATGGAACAACACATCTGTAAGCTCGTCAGCAAAGAGCAACTGCGAGTATACTAGTTAGCCCTACTGGTAAAAATCTTGTGAATGCCACAGATGACGTCCAACTCCTCCACGGTCAACAGGTCGTTGTAGTAGTCATCGCCCCGATATGGACGGAAAGGTTGGCTGGTATGATAGATGTCTGTTGATGGGCCTTCAAAAGCGACATTGTGCCAGTCAGCCAACATGATCTCCGAGGCAAGCTGCCACACTATGCCGCCCTGTGCAAGGGCCGCCCTGCCCCTAGGCCGCGCAAGGATATCGTAGACTTGCTGTTCATACGCTTGATAGTCATAGCGGTTGAGGACAGTGCCACTAATCCGCCAGCTGAGAGTCGGGACCTCGGGGCAGATGTATGTGATCTGATCTCTACCATCGGGACAGAACAAGGTGTAGTAAGGGGTCCCTCTTGCCACCAGATACCTTAGCGCGTCACAACAATTGGTGATGTCCCGCTGACGATACAGCTCGAGGACAGTCGTAGTGTTATCCACAATGAGCTCCCACCAATAGTCGTTGGCGCGATTTGCGTAGGATATGCGATAATGCTTTCGATTATCCAGGATCCACGCCATAGGCTCCATGGACGGGTGTCGCTGGGCAGAGTGGAGGAGGTAACAATCACATGCAGGATTGAGGTCCCATATAAGGCCTGGCGCAGTTGGCATGTCCTTGTTCTCGAGCAGTGAGTTGACAAGACCGCACATAGCCTTGACGACCAAAGCATCGGCCTTGTCGATGTCCTCGGCAAGATAGCCAATGAAGTTTTGAAGGGTAGCGGGCGCATAGGCATCGTAGTCGATGTGGGTGTTCGGCTGGACAACCGGAACCAGACCATAGTGGACACGAGCGACAGCACCAAGATGAACGAGATAGGGTGCGAACGACCCCATTTCATCGTAGAACAGCAGTAGTTCTGACTCGAAGAAAACATTGCGTGACTGATCATACAAAGACAGCATGGGCTGAGGCACGTCCGGTTCATCCAGCTCGTCCCAAGAGTCGTCTAGCCTTTCTTCTGGCGCGAGCTTCTCACAGATGTCCCACTCTTCGAGCCAAGTGTTGTAGTGTTTATGTGCAGGTGGATGGCTCCCCCAGACCTCAGCGACAGCGGTGGGCTTAACGTATGCGTGGTAGTCCATGAAAAGCACTTCCGCGGGAACTTGGTCATCTACATCTCCAACCACTTTCCAAAGGAAGACTCGGGTGGGACAAGTGGGACGGTTGAAGGTATTTGCCTTCTGCTGCCATCACATCCGGCTCTCGCGCTGCTCTGACGTCTCCTTCTCTGCACGCTTGTGATTGGTGCACTCTCTTCGAGCGAAGAATGCTTGGTAGGACTCGCCAGATAGTTGTCCCTCTCCGTGAGGAATCCTGGTGGGTGGTCCATCCTCAGGAAGGATGTCCTCAAGGCTAGGCCGAGATTGTTCAGCCCATCAGAACGAAACCTGCTGGCTAACGACTTGGGGACGCAGATGCATGACGACCCAACCCGCATCGTTGGCGACGACCTCTCGAATGTCGCATGGCTTGGGAAGGTAGTCCCGCAGGAACGGATATTTACGGATAACCTCAGTAGTATCCTTGGGCCAGGCGATGTAGATTGGAAGGCTGGTGCGGATCATACATGGGACGTGGTTGACCCACGCAGTGGCAGATTCATGGCTGGGTTGGACGAGAGGGTTGACGATGGCCCCTACACATAAATTGGGTGACAGGTCGGCGATCACAGATGCCCTCAGCGCACCGATCCAAGCGGAGGGAACTTTTTGCTTCATAAGAGCGAGGACCCATCATGGAGGGTTGGTGTCGGGGTGTACCGTGCAGAGAGCAATCGCCATAGTGCAACGCGCCGCCAGCAGGGCACAGGGCACAGGTGTCGCGCCCCTTCAGTGCAGCAGCCTTGGCCGCAGCTTTGGTGGGGTACACGTCCTTGTAACGATACTTGGAGGGATTGGGCCAGAAGGGATCGAAGGGAAACGACATATCAGGTCGCCCATGGACTGTATTGAAGAGAATATCGCTTGTATGCAACAAACAGCTCTCGAGCGAACACCAGGACTTTGCGACAGATGGGGCTAACATATATCCGCGCGTGGAACCACTGTTGACTTTGACCAAATGAACAGTATTGCAATCACAGTGTAGTCCCACCAAAAAAGTGTTCTCGGTCTTGAAATGTCGAACCATGTACGCAATCTCGGGACACTTGTTTGTTGGAAACAGTGGTTGGCAAAGGTTGCGACCATCGAGGTTCAGATGTGGATCAACGATAGGATAGCCTGGTAGATGTTGTACAGGTGTTGGATGAATGACGGTGTAGATGACACCATTATAGGAGAATGCGCGGAAGGGCCTGTGTACAACGTGATTGTCAATGATATGCCAGCAGGAAAGTGAGCAGACATACTTGGATGATTCAGACATGGCCCTGCAAAGTCGAGATCATGATGAAAAGAGGAAGCTATATTGTCAAGAGTGAGTACCGAGAACATGTAAGATGATATGAAAAAGGGCATACCAACTGCGCACTAGTTGTATCGAAGGCCTGGGTGCTGAAGATTGACCAAACTGGCAGTGACAGGCAAGCTTGCACGTCCAGAGTGTTGATAGGAGGCTAGGCAAGCGGAGAGCTACAGGCGCAGCGTGCACAGGCGAGGGGTCGGAGGGGACTCGTACAACGATGGAGTCTGTACGTGGAGATAACTGCATACAGAGCTAGCAGAGAAAGGAGGCTGAGACGAGCAGAGGTAAGGTAGATGTTCGGGTAAGGGCAGGAGTACGTCTGTACGGGGAAATAACCCCATACAAACCGGGAAGATGGAGGATGGAGGAGAGAGGATGAGGCCTGAGGCAAGACTTGGGCGAGATGAGACTTGGCAGTTGGCGGCATTGGCTGGGGTGGCGCATGGTGTTGTGGGGGTGTATTTGGCAATGACTTCAGAGACATTGGGACTTGAGCTTGAGTGCTTGAGCGCTTGAGCTTGAACCCAACACTCCTCTTGGTCCTCTCCCGCCTCTCGCACCCTCCTCCTATACCCTATGTGAGGTTATATCCGCACATAGGTTCTCTTCCCACCGCTTCGTCTCTACCTCATACTTACTTCTGCCGTTCTTGCAGCCTGCCTGAGGTTATTTCCGTGTGCAGACCGCGTGGATCGTTGGTCCTTGTGCATGCCGCGGTCTGTGTTACACAGGTTGTCAGTGTTCTATTGCTTGGCATGTCATGTTCTGGACGATGTGATGAGGATAGAGACCAGCCAGAGAACAGGCGTGCACTCATCTTGTGGTAAGTACATGCGAGACCTTGCTCGTTTGCAATCATGACTAACATATGGTTGCGCTGTGTTGCACCAGGCATTGCATCAAATATTCTTCCGGATTTTTGCGCGGTATCATACACATCTCAGTGTCCGTGCCCCATCCCTCTCCATCTCTTTAACCCCTTCCGGACGCTGACCGGGTGACGAGGCGAATCCAGTTGAACTGTTCCTTCGACACAGCAAGAGTGCACAGCTGGCCTTCAGACCGGCTTATAAGCCACTCCTGATCATACAGCTGGCGAGGAAGATGTCGGGCAGGTGAACGATTGCTCGAAAGCAAGTGCAACGCCGCAGCTGGCCCCCGACCGCCTTGTCCCACGAGCTGCCTGACTCCGACCTGTAAAGTCCGCCATTTCTATTCACTGGTGACCTACAAGGAGGACTACGCTGCGGCACAAGTTTTCGTGGTCAGTCTGCGAAGCGCCACATCACGTCTGCATTGCTAACTTTGGGGTAGTGCGCTAGCTGCGGCCGCCCTCAGTTCCCCGAGCAATGGGGACCGTCCGAAGAAGACCTGGTGGACATTGAAGCCCAACGCAAGCGTAACCATCTTAGAAAGTGTGCGGACGATCATCAAAAACAACTCCAGCGCGCACACGGCTCCCTCAAGATCAAATGCAAACTGGAGACCCTCCCAAAGTCGCAGAAGAAGGCAAAGGCAAAGGGACGTGCCAAACCTTTCGGAGTAGGAGCATGCGCATGGTTGATTTGAGTGTATCGGGCTAACAATATGCGGTTTAGATTGTTGGGAACATGATGGGAACCTTGGTGAGTCTATTGCCACGTCGAGGTCCGCTCGTTCTACAGCTGCTATGACAGGATGCGACGGCCGGACCGTCTCGGCGAGACCTATATTGCGGGCGCACAATTACGGTCTTGCTGTGGTACCAGGTACACCCGTTGTTGCGCTCGTTTGCGCCAAACATAGCTGACGACCTTCGCAACAGATGAACCAGCTTCCGCTGGAAAAGAAGGTTGACATCGAAGACGCTCAACTGCTCCATTTCGCAGAGGCCCCGTGGGTGCAAGCGGCATGCGCCCCAGGGTCACTGCTCGTCTTTGACGCATGGCTGCTTGACGTAGCGCAATGGTCCACTGTCACTTGGTCGACGGCTCCCATTGATGTGTCGCTGGACAAGGACACGGTGTTTGTCCGCGTCACCGGCCTGCCTTGCACGGGGTTCGGTCATTACATCAAGAAGTACGAGGAGAGCCATGCCATGGCATACCAGCTTCACGGAGGGCAGACACCCAGCGACATATTCATCACGTCCTCGGTCCCCAACAAGGTCTGGGTCGCCCTGTAGACCGCCGTAAGTTCATCACTATCATGTACATACACCAACCCTAACGCGACACTATGACAGGACAGCCAGGGTCCGACGCTGTACCAGTTCGCTATCGTCAAAGAGCTCGGATGCGACATAGCGCGATGGGTAGATCCTCCAGAGCTCAAGAGCGCGCACCATGTGTGCTACTGGATCGAGGGTGAAACCCAGTGGCAGGGATACGCAGGTGTGAGTGGGGTGCAGGTAGCCTGCTTGCCCGGTGTCCTGTTCATTCTTCTCCAACACCCAAACATTCAGCAGCTGTTCGGGTTTGAGGACATGCTCAAATGCCTGGAGAACACGCGCGCAATTCAACGCGCTTCTGGTCAGGACCACGTTGCTCCTCCAGTTATGCACACCACACGTACGCCGGGCACAGAGGCGCCACAAGCCCGTCCCTCGAACGTGAAGGTTGAGCCCACCACATGCGCTCAGGTATTCACGACTAGTGCCGCTGGTCCGTCAAACGTCAAGACAGAGCCCGGCACGACTAGTGCCGTGACACGTGGGTACAACGTGCACGCAGGTCAAGCAGGCCCGTCGACCACGGCTGAACACTCCGTGCGCAGCGTGCAAGTCAAGGGGAAGGTAGTGAAGGGGAAAGGGAGCAATATGGGGATAGACTGGCGCCAGGATGTGCAGCGTGCAGGGTTCCGCGTCGTTGTCGAAAACAGTGAGGAGGTGATTGAAATATAGTATGATATATGAAATATACGATACGTACAGAGATGCAGAACTATAAGCAGTTGGCTAACTACTTGCTAGGAGCAGGCAACTGTCGAAAGCGAGTAACTAACGACGCAGGCAAGAGATACCGCCACCAAGTGCATATAGTGAATAGTGAATAGCACCGTCCGGCTTAACGACGCACCGCCCTGCGTCGAAATGTTGCATATCCTCCCGCGCTCCTCTCGTGTCTCACGGAGGAGTATTTTGTGCTCAGGTTAGTACGTTGCGCGCAAGGCTCAGTGGGGATCTGACCCTTCCATCATATTGTCGCAGTGTACTGCCAGGTGGCCGTGTCCGCAGGACGGGGCAGGGATGCGCTCGAGTAGGCAGTTGATGGTGTGTCAGTGCATTGTACAGAAGGCAAAACTGTGTCTGACAAACATCCTACAGGGAACTTGACGGGCAGCAAACACGCAGAAGAATACGGCATCTGTGAGGCGATGTTTTCGGGGATCCACTATATGAGTAAGTACGGTATGCTGATCCGAGCGTACAGAATGTGCGTCACCCGTGCGGATGCCCTCGCGCAACTATGCGGCGCGGAAGCTACTGCGTATGGCCTCGGCATCAGTATGTGCGCATTACTCGGGCAGCGGGACATGCACGGAGTATGCCGACTTCTCTCAGGCGCGCACCAGACCATAGAAGCTCACCATTCGATATCTGTCTTGGCTAGGCAGTGGCAGGGGTAGGGGTAGAGGGCAAGGGTAAGCGGGGGTACACCCGCGGGTAAGGGGTACAGGTATGGACACACATGAACCCCTTGAAAATCCGTACCCGGGAGGAGGGTACCCGTACCTTTCTGCAGGTAACCTGTGTCTATGTGTGGAAATAGTCTTGAGAAGTAGTCTGGTGCACACAGCCACCAGATACCAGTCTCCGGACACTCAGAAAAGCGTCCATAGCACCATAAAAGGCTATTTCAGCCACTGACATTATGCCCTAATCAAGTAGTACTACCAAACCATACATGCAATCAGTATGTAGCCATAAGCAAGGATCCAACTCCGCAAGGCCAGCGGCGAAGAACTATACAGCACAAAAATGTCCCACCACTGCAAGCTCTCGCATGGCTAAACTTATCGTTCAAGACCCTACACCGACGGCGAAATCACCCACACATCCATCGTAAGCACATACAAAGGTCCTTCACACATTCGCCCTCACAGACAGGATTCACTGACAGATATCAGACATGGCCGGGGCCTCACGCAGGAGAAAGTCGGTCAAGGCCACGGGGAGTGCGGCCTCAAAAGGCAAGAAGACGGTGAAGCCGAAGCCGAAGCGGACGCGCAGTGCTACTAACAGTACAGCGGGAAAGGACACAGACAACACTGCTGCTAATGAGAGCAGCGAAGGCTCGGGCAACGAACGCCCGAAGAAGCAGGCGCGGAGGTATCAGACTACTATCGAAGAGGTTGTAGACGAAGATGGCAGCTCCGGAGGAGCCGGGGCAATACAGGCGACGCAAGCGAAGAGAAAAACAATCGTGATCAGTAGCGAGGAGGAGGACGATGACGAGGAGGGCTACGAGGATGAAGAGGAAGACGCCGAGGAAGAGCTCAGTGAGCAGTGCAGTCATCTGTTGGAGAACATCGTACTCATCAGAACATAGCTCGCCTACGCAAGCGGTGGAACTCACCTATGTACGCCTTCTTCAAGGCCGAGGTCGACATCGAGTACGTCGACGGACGTCGCTCGCACGTCTTCACATGCGCCCGCAAGAGTTGTGACTTCACAACGAGGCGATACCTCGACACCGGGGACCGTTCGACAGGTAACTTGCAGAAGCACGCGATCGGGTGTTGGGGCGAGGAAGCAGTGATGCGCGCGAAGGAGACTGCCAGTGAGGAGGAGGCATGCCATGCCATCGTCGAGAGCATCGAGAAAACGGGGCACATTAGTACATTCTTCTCGCGCAAGAAGAAAGGGAAGGTCACCTATAGCCATATGCAGCACACGCGCGAAGAGACGAGGTGAGTATATACAATCATCTTGAATGGGACTCTGTTGTTGACGAGGCGGCGATTACTAGAGCGGAGATTGTCAAGTGGGTTGCGCAAAGCCTGCGGCCGTTCAGCATAGTGCGCGATCCCGGCTTCCTATCGTTGATGAAGACGGGTCGCCCCGGGATGTATATCCCTTCTCCATCAACCGTCTCGCGCGACGCCAAGATGGTGTTCGCGCGGACGCGCGCTAGGATTGCGCAACTACTAAGGGTGAGTCAGCGATCTATGCATGAGCGCGTATGGAACTAACCTGGCAGCGCTTCAGGATTACGAGGGAAAGCTGAGCTTCGGGACGGACACTTGGACGTCCCCAAACCATCGTGCTTTTGTGGCGATCTCTGTGCACCTGGAAGTCGATGGTCAGCCATTGAGACTCCTACTCGACCTTGTCGAAGTGGCTGAGGTACGTACTCGCGTGTCCCAGTGTGCACATCTCCCTGACGAGCCATGGGGCTGCCCACAGTCGCATACTGGCGTCAACTTGGCCGCCGCATTCGCACAAGTCCTGGAGGATTTCGGAATCCAGCACAAGGTGAGTATGATATCAAATCGGATGGCACAGTGTCCTCACATGGCGTACAGATCTTGGGAGTGACGTGCGACAATGCGTCGAACAACGACGTCATGGTCGACCACCTCAACGTGCTCCTGGAGGCCTTCGGAGGAAGCTTTGCGCGAACGCGCTGCTTCCTCCATATCTTGAATCTCACGGCGAAGAGCTTGTTGAAGCAATTCGACGTGAAGGCGGTCCAGGATGTCGAGCAGGTGGACGAGGATGTCCGCCGGTTGCTGGAACTTGCGCGCGAGATCGACACCGAGGAGAAGGAGGCCGCTGTGAACCCTGAGGTCGATGAGGGGATGGATGAGGGCGACGGCGACGAGGAGCAGGACGACGACGACGACGACAGCTGGGTCGACGAAGTCGCGTCGTTGGATGACGAGGAAAGGGAGGAGTTCGAGGAAGAGGTTCGCCCAGTGAAAATGACACTGGCAAAGGTGAGTCAGCCAGTGACAGCGTGGCAGAGCGAGGGTCTCACGCTTTGACAGATCCGTCGCCTTGCGTTCAAAATAGTCAACTCTACTACCAAGCTCTTGCCCGCGTGGAATGCGATCCTGCTGGAGCAGAAACTGCCGCAGAGATTAATCCCGAGGGACGTCCGCACGCGCTGGAACTCAACTTACGATATGCTAGATGTAGCCGTCACATATCGTGAGGCATTGGACAGTCTCTGTTCGAAAGCTGAGCGAGGCTTGCGCGCGTTCGAGCTCTCGGCAGACGAATGGAGAATTGCGGTTGAGCTTCGCGATGTGCTTAAGGTTTGAACTCAATCTGCTTCTCTGCAACGTGTTGTACGCTGACACTCTTTGCCCTCTGCCCAATTCCCTCGCACCGCCGCTCCTGCTCCCGCTCCTCTCCCTGCTTCCTCCCTCTCCCCTCCCCCGACACGGTCGCTGGACGACTTTGTCATCTCTCGGACGCCATGGTCGCTGGGCGACCTCCTCTCGCACACGATGTTCGGCAACCTCTAGGTCTTCAAGTTCGCTACTCTGTTCTTCTCGCGCGATACTCCGAACCTCGCCATGGTCATCCCGGCCATGGACCATATCGATACGACTCTCACCAACCACGTCCGCGACAGCAGCCCACTTCATCCCGCTATCTGCGCCGCCCTTCGTCTGTCCAAGAAGACCTTGAATCGCTATTACAAGATGAGCGACCTCTCGGCTACATACCGTATCGCGATGGGTGAGTACATTGCCCGGCGGCCGCTTCGTTGTCACTGTGCATGCCACAATGCTCACGATCCGTACAGTTCTACACCCAGGTCACAAGCTGAAGTATTTCCAGCGAGCTGGCTGGCCGTCCGCCTGGTCGAAGACCGCGCACAACCTCGTGCGCACGGAGTATGACACTAGCTATGCGACCCGCGGCGATGACGCGGCATATGAGCCCGCGGATGACGACTCTGGCGCTGCAAAGGATGCTCCTGCACACGACGATCCTTTCGCAGGGATCCCTGAGGTACGCAATGTGTCACTTACTACGGCTTTCAACGCTGACCTGTGTGCTATCTAGGGCGCGAACATCTTCGACCACCTGCCAGGAATGGCCGCCCTCGCCGACGACTCCGACAGAGACGAACTCAACGACTACCTGGAGTCCCCGGTTGACCCAACGAAGGACGCTCTTGCCTGGTGGCATGCACGCCGCCTGCAGTTCCCTCGCCTCTCGCGAATGGCGCTCGACTACCTCTCTATCCCCGGTGCGTCACACTCCATCTCACTGTGGGCTGCAGCTGATTGTAAGCCGTCAGCTACATCCGTCGACGTCGAGCGCACGTTCAGCCGCGGTCGTCGTCTTCTCAGCCATGTGCGCAGCCGGCTCAGCGCGCAGACCACGCGCGCTGTTCTCTGCTTGAGCGACTGGGTCCGGTGGGATCTGGTCAAGTCCCAGGACATCCGGGCTGTGTCCAAACTCGCCGAGGTTGACGACAACCGTCTCGATTACAACATGGAGGACGGCTGGGACCGCATCAGCACGCTGCTTTCTGAGATGCGCTCTTAGGTTGTATGTACCTGTATTCTGTGATGACTGTCTGTATGTTTCGCCCAGCATGTATTGCCCGTAGCTACTTGTGTGTGCCCCCGCTGCCGCGTGCCCCCGCGCTCATTGTCGTCGTCGTCTGGCTTGCTATCACCCGCCCCGGACGATCGATATGCTACGTCAGTGGCGGATTGATTGATCTCATGGTCCCCGAGCCTCATGCATCGTTGAGGCTGCTGTGTGTTGACGCTGCCCACCGCCATACCCTTCTTACTTTGTCCCCACTGCTGCCGTCATTGAGCTCTCCCATGCCAGTCCCTGTACCTCGACGATCCGAGTCTCCGTTTGACCTCCCTGAACTTGTCTCCATCCCTACGTTCGCCCCCGTATCCCGCTCGATACCTGCACCAATGTCGACATCCACTGTTCGTGTGGACTTCGTGCGATCTTCGTGGACATCACCTGGACGTCCTCCACTGCATGCGCTCATGCTGAGAGTCATCGATCCACGAGAGGAGGAGGTTCTATATGAGGTGCACTATGCTAAGTCTCGTCTGCTGTGATATATAATACTTACATGATAGTAGTTCCGTCCCCCTGTGTACTTTGAAGACTTCGACACCCTCCCACTCGCCATCTTCGAAGAAACAGTCTATAGAATTGAACACGGCTATTTTGGCATTGCGAGAGGCCGGTTTCCTCCTCAACAATTCGATCTCCTACTCGACTTTGTCAGATGCCTTGCCCGTCTGGCTCAGCATCGTCCCCGGAATAGGGCTGTGTGGCATGAATTCTCCACCCTCATGCTTCAGGCATCCTCGGCAGCCCGTCGCATCGATGCACCCACAGACAGCATCAATGGCCTTGCTGCTCTCTCTGAGTGGGCCCGGGCGATGTTTCCGGTGAGTACTATCAACTTCTTGAAGATGTATATAATGAATTCAGGGTATCACAGGTCCACTTCATTGATTACCCTCTTCCGGGTCATGAAGAAGAGCTGTAGGCTGGCACTCTGGGGGCACTATGAGCTACTTTCCATGTGTATATGATATTAAACAATTCTAAGCTGCCTGCTTCCTCTATGCCACCATGTACCCTCTACCCATTGAAGATGAGGATTACCTGCACATGGATTGGATACCCGTGGGTTACGGTACCCACGGGTGGGGTAACCCTAACCCTAAGAATCCGCGGGTACGCGGGTAGGGGTTTTTGCAGGTATGGGTATGGGTATTGTTCGAAATACCCGGGGGTATACCCCTGCCACTGCCTAGTCTTGGCGTCCAGGTACCACCGGTGATCAAACGGTCGGCCGATGGATTGGGCGCCCACGGGCAACTATGTCTGTACCTGATCGACAAGTGACGTCATTCGGACTGGACAGGTACTCATGGCCATTGCACAACCAAGGTAAGGCCGAGTATGAGCTCAATTATCGCTAGAACTTGCAGAGCCTCCGTGTGATGGGCGGGTTGCAGTTCCAAATTCAAGTCGAGCTCCGGAGTCACACCGCCCACGTTAGCGCCGTCTACGTGCTCGCCGTCATCACAATACCACTTGCTGGGAGTAGAGAACTTGAAATAGTCCGTCTCGGGGAGCGAGTCGGAAGGCGGGATATGGGAGTATGGGGTCGCGTGGTCCGCAAGGGAGTCGCGGGCACGCGTAGAGAAGAGCTTGCCGGGAGAAAAGGAGACAGGTTGCCTCTCACTGCGTGAGACCCCTTCCTAGTGTGAGGGTAACGAGTATGTACCAGACGAGTCAGTGGATATTAGAAGCAGGGAAGAGGTTAGCTCGTACGATGTCGTAGTGGTCACGAGAAGACCTCGTTGAGCATCGCATGCCCCATCACTACACAATATGGTACGAACCACAGACTACTACATACTAAGGCATCTAGTAGGCACTCGTAGTAAATGTACGAGTTCGCATATTCACACCTCGCGCGTTGAGCACACGAAACCCTCTCGTCAGACCTAGTGGTACCGCTCTGCGAGCTTACCTAGCGGCAGCTCGTTCAAAGCTCCCATACGATCTCGTACGTCCGTGCGAGGTGGTATGGCCGGATCAAAGCTCTCGCCCAACGATCGAGAAGGGCGAGCCACAGTACAAGCGCTGGTCTCACCCGTCCTCCCGGACACTTCCACTACGCTTGACATGCAAATCTGACTAGAGTGTTCTGTGGCTCGCGCAACACGGAGGTATCTGTTCTTTATCTGGGCGCGGCACTTCTGGACTCCGTCCACCCGGGGATGCCCCGATGGCCCAAAGTCTATAAAACCCTGCTCCTACAAGCCCATATGCTTGCTGCCAACGTCCGCCTCCTCCTCTGCCAGAGTCCGCCGTAGTCATCATGATATCTCTTGGACCTAGGTGAGTCGAAAACGGTAAGCTAGCTCACTGGTATCACAACATCTTGAGGCGTACTAAACATGGTCTGCCATGGGACCTGAGCTCGGAGGGATGTCCATCATCAAGGCGACATGGGTGCTGACCTTGACAGCGCGAGGATGTGAGCCTGGCGTGACGGTGCGCAACCGCAATTCGTGAGATTATGTATTATTACGCGATGCAGTCGCATAAAAACTTTGGAAACTTCTATTATCATTGTGTAGTCACATCTGCTAAAATATATTCTCGTTCTGCGCACCCATATGAATGATGATAGATATACATACCCTCCGATTCTAATAGATTTAGATCCCAGATGTGATGCGAGAAATTTGAGCTTCGCCCGGATCGGGCTAGTCGGGCTATGTGAGTCTAGCTCCGTATTGTCTCGTAGTATGTCGTATACATCTTACTAGGTCACTGCGCCGTGGGTAGCAAGCTCCCTAACGATCCGTTCTCGTTGATAGTAGTATGATATTTCCACGACTATTGCTCGTCTTGACTTGTAGCACGATAGCCCGAGGTCTTCGCGTATAAGGTCGGAGATACATCCTATGTGTCCCCCCAACTACTCGTGGGGGGATGCACGGCAGACGCTAGTCACCCGGGTTACTAGATTGAACTATGCATTATCTTACGGACTCGTAGCCGACCGTACGAGAAAGGGGTCTCACGCAGTGTCTCCTTGCTGTTGACAGATTCGTCATCGTTTTCCTGGGCGCACGCGGACTTGCTGACTGCGCGTTTGATCCCGAGGGAGGTTGCAAGAGCTTTCAACGTTGAAGTCACAGAAGCTGGTGATTTGGGAGAAGTGCGAGGCATGGTGAGTACATCAGTGGTTCATGGCACGACCACGGGGAAAACGCGCGAAGAGCGCGAGGCAAGGTAAAATATGGAGCCTCGACCATGGAGCGGCTGTCGATCATAAACGACCTCGACAGAACGGCCATGAATAACGGATGCTTGGCGGCGCAGGGACTGTCTCGGAAGGCAAAGAATAGGGTGGAGTACGATGAGCGCCGCAAAATCTCACAGCGAAGTGACCCAGTTCAAGAGGGAACAAAGACGTGTCAGAAACGTATCAGCGGTACATTGACACTAATTCCGCTACCTAAGCCATTGTTTCCCTTTGTACCTGAATGCATCTGACGCTTATATTCGAGCCAGGCGGTTGCAGCATAAGTACCGTCCTGTGCGTTGACCTGCCACCTCGCGGCTGACAGTGAATGATTGATGAAATGCAGAGGCAGGCTGACTATGAAGTTGTCGATCTAGGACCAGCCTCTCATGCTGACTTCGAGGACCGAATGTGTCCTTCAGCCGATGTCAGCCTCAGAGCCTCAATGTCCAATGTCCGCGTCTGCGACGCTCAAGCCCATCGCATCGGAGTTTTCTGACAGCGCCAGCCCGCCTCATCCGGACTAAGGAGCGTCAACAGAAAACAATTCCGACGCAGCTCGATGCAACACGTACCAAAAGACAAACATAACGCGACTCACCCTTGGACGTATGGGTGCCAAACTCCCCGTTCGAGACGGTGCACAGGCTGCCCTTGGAGGACATCGTGCCCACCCCGCTCTCGTCCACGTCCGCGATGTCGTCCATCACAACTTCCCACTGCTCGCTCGGGCGCGGTATCCCGAAGCGCGAGTTCATGACCACGTCTTGCATCGCGTAGTCGTCGTCTTGTTCTTCGTCCCCTCCTCCCTGTACCGCGGAGTCGGCGGGGAATCCCTCAGGGAGATCTTCCTCCACGTCCATCTCATCGTCGAAGGACGGCGCGCATAGCGCGTCGGGCGGGAGTGCTTGCGCGTGTTGCTTGAGGCGCTCGATGAGTTCGACGTTCTTGCCGTTCGCCTTAAGGGAGTGGGTCTTGCATAGCTTCACGAGCTGGTCCCGCTTAAGCGAGTGCAGCGCGGGCGAGTTGAATAGAATTTGCGTTGTGGTTGTCATCAGGAGTGTGTCCGCATCTAAGCCAATGGAAGTCTGTATTGAGAGCCTTCTGTGTGGGTCTAGCAGCAGAGAGCAAGCCCAGGTGTGTCGGGCTAGTAGTCGGGGCGGCTGGCGGGGGCGGGCTGCGGCGGAGGAGACATACGCGGGAACAGACGGGACGGCGGAGGGCAGCGAGATGGTCGGCGTAGAGGTGAGCGGCGACGCGCGCGGTTGTGTGCGCCGCTTGACCTGCGCCTCGAGCTTGTTGCGCTGCTTGCGGACGTCGTCGTCCTTGAGCTTGACGGAGAGCGCGAGCTCGATGAACGCCTCAGGGTTGAGGGGCAGCGCGGTAGGTGGAGGATGGCAGAGCGTGTTGAGTATGTCGTCGGGGGAGGTGGACTGGAGAACAAGACGGCGACAGCCGGCGAAGATAGCGAGGCCGACACGGAATAGGAATGTTACACCTGTCATACCTGTCAGCAAACGCTTCGCACACGCGTCGAATAACAGTAGACGTACCTTCGAACAGGAAGACGTCCCAAACGCGCAGCAAGTAGTCGGGCTGCAGCGTCGCCGCGAAGACGGCCATGAACCTGCCAGACGGAGTCAGCGGACGCACGCGGATGAGTTCAAGAACGTACCACGGACGACAGACAGCCGCCGGCGGAATCGCCATATCGCCGAAGACTTTCTTCGCCGACGCGGGGTCGTTCGCCTCGAGCGCCCTCGCGAAGAGCGACGCGTCGACCTCGAGTTGCACGGAGGTCGAGAAGTAGGGGCGGAGGTGGCTGTCCATCAGCGAGATGAACGTCCAGAAAGCGTCCTCCTCGGGCGACTGTAGGAGCAACTGTCCGGCAATGAGGGCGAGTCCTACGAGAAGAAGTCAGCAATGAACATGTGAACGTTCACAGTACACTCACCTTTGCTGTACTGGACGTTCGGTACCATGCACAGGTAAGCCTGCAGCATCTTCGCGAGCGATCCGTCCTGTAACTCCGGCCGGTCCACGAAGCTCTCGCGAATATCGCGCTCGATATCCGCGAACGCCGGCACCTTCTCGCGCTGCGCGAGCCGCTGATACAGCCCGTCCATCCGCTTCCCCTTGCTATCCGCCAGCGCCGCCCACACCTGATACCGCACCGATGTAGGCACGCCTTCGAGCACAAGCTTGCGGATCTTCTTGCTCTTGCGCATCTGCGCCGCCGGAATCGCCGCCTGGCCGCGATCCAGCGCTGTTCGCGGTGCCGGTGCGCCGTCATCTCGCTGATCTCCTTGGGGGACTTCGACTCGTTTGGAGAGAGGTCCATCGGGATCCGGAGGCTGCTCGAGCCCGACGTTGTCGACATCGCGGGGCTGTCCGTGCGCAGGAAGCCGTCGCTGCGGATCGGGCTCGGAATGGGGAGCGAGTCAACGCTGCCCGCAAACGGCGACATCAGCATATTGGGCTTGACGAGCTCGAAACCCATGTCTTGCACCTGGACGGTCTCCTGGTCGACGGTGTGTTCGCTTGCGCTCGTGTAAGTGCTGAGGGTCGGACTTCGCGGGTCGTGGTTGGACGAGTCCTTGCTTGTTACGAGTCGCAGAGGGGACAATACGGCCGATTCTTCTTGTTGATCTTCAGTCCGAGCACCGACGAGGACTCCGATATGCTCTCCGCGGGCGACGTGATCACCGGAGACGTGGCATCCGTGTGCAGCGTGTCGATCGACGGACGCGACAACGACGTTGTCCCAGACAGCGGCGACGACATCTCCGACCTCGAGCTAGTCGTCGACAACACCGCTGATCGGCTGTGCCTCAGCACCGGAGACGCCTTCGGGAACACCCCCGCACTCCTCGGCGACGCCGGCGGATTCGCACCCCTCGCAAACGACTCCTGCAGCGCCTCCAACGGCGACTGCATCGGCTGCTCCCTCGCATACCCGTTCACATTCACGGGCCCTCCTGCTGCTCCGGGACCGGAAAATCCGGCGGCCTGGTCGAGCAAAAGCGCACGCATAACTGGTGCGCCAGGGCCTGCGGCGCCGACCCGAGCGAGCGCGTCCGCTGCGGGGGGAGGATGCGACGTCGGGAGCGGGTTCGTGAGCGCACGAGGCGGGGGAGAACGTACGGGCTCGTCCATCGCGGCGGTGTTGTTCGATGAGAGTGAGAGTGGCGACGGCGCGTGCACGCCACGCACGACGGACGACGCGTGCGAGACCGTCGCTCGCTGCGGTGCCGCGACTTGTGCCGCCGCCGTCGTTGTGGTGGCCATCGCGGACTTCGAGCGTTTCGTGGTGATTTGCAGCGGCTTGACGGACGCGAGGCGCACGGCACCTTCCTCCCGGCTGCAATGAAGGTCAATATTTGTCTCGTGGGCGATACGGAACGAAACTCACCTGCCCCGCGCCAGAGCCTGCATCCTGTCCTCCTGATTCCCACTCTCGAACCCCGAGAATGACCGTGACCGCGGCCTCGCCATCCCCGCCGCAGGCGTAAAGTTCGCCCGCTGGATTGGCTGACTTGTACCCGCGGCCGGCGGACCACCCTGCTGCAACGGCGGCGACATGGTGTTTTGCATCCCTGGCGGGGGCACCGTAGTCACCCGCCCAGGAGGCGACATCACTCTGCTAGGAGGCGACATTACCCTGCTCGGCGGGGCATCGTGTTCACCCTCGCGGGTGGCGACATCATCCTCCCGGGGAGCGACATCGCGTTCTGCCTCCCCGCGGGATCCACACTTCGCCTCCCCGCCAACTCCCCACCGGGAGGACCGCCACCCATCCCCATCCCCGACGCCGGCAACCCCGTCCTGCTCGGGCCCTGCGCACCAGTCCACGGCATCGGCGGTCGTGCCCGGTTCGCGGGGATGTTGTTCTGTGGCTCCAGACTAAACGTGATAGGCACCGGCCCTATTGACGTCGACAAGTCGTACTCGAACCGCCCGTATATCGTCGGAGGCGCAGGGCGACCCTCCCGCCGCGCGACAAACGCGATCTGCAGGACCTGGAAGACCGAGCCCGCAGGTGGGCCGGTGGGAACGGGAGGCGCGGCGGGCTGGCGTCCGTACATCGGGCCCGCGGAGGCGGTGGTCGGTTTTGGGGCGCCGGGATGCGGGAGGAAGAGGCTCTGCCGACCTTGTGGGTCGGCAGGTGGGCGGTTCGGGTCGATAGGGCGCGCTGTGGGGTGTGTCGGCGGGCTCGTTGACGGACCGGGTCGGGGTATGGCCATGGGCATAGGCATGGGCATAGGCGCGGGCGCAGGTGTGAGGGGCAGAACGGGCGCGGGCTGCGGTGGTGGAACTTGAGATGAGGAAGCTTCGGGAGTCGCACTGTACGGGGGAGGTGGGGGCCCATCGGGCACTGGGTCCGCGTTCGCAATCACCATCATGCGCTTCTCGTTGCGCGGGGAGCGTGGGGAGGAGTTCGACGATCTCTGGACGGATGGTGGAATAGCGGGAGTAGGCGGAGGCGTTGAGCGCGTCTCCGACGGGCCGTGCACGATCTCTGCCGCTTGCGAAGCCGCGGTATGCGGCATGCTGGGGTCACGCTCCACCACGGTAAGCTCTTGTCCTAGCCTTCCCTTGCCTGCGGCCTCACGATCGGACGGCAAGTCATCGTCTTGCTCGTCCCGCTCGCGCTCGAGCCGCTGCCTGAGGTTAGTCGCCGCGCCCGTGTTGGTTGGATAGACCGGAGACATGAGCGTAGGCGATGCGAAAGATGCCGTCGTCGCTGTCGGAGCGGTGGGCGACGCCTGCGGAGAGCCGAACGTCGCGTGCAACAGTGGAGACGGCTCAGGCTCCTTCCTGAACGTGAGCGGCGCGGGCCTGTTCTTTTGCAGCCGGCTCATCGTCTCCTCCGAATCACCCGCGCTCAACAGATCCTCCGCAGGAGTGGAGACACTCTCGCTGAGCTTCGAGTGCGCTGTCTCCTTCGAGCCCTTCCTGCCGTGCTCGCGCGAGTCCAGACTGCCCCTCGACAGCTCCGTAGGTATCGGTGGGACGACCTCAGAAGTCGACGCGACGGTGTACATCGAGCCCTTCGAGAAGCGCGACATCTTCGACGCCATCGAGTATCGCGAGTACCTATAGTCGTCGTAGATGTCATCCGCGCCCTCCCAGTCCTCGCCGCCATAGTCGCTCCCCGAGTGCGCGGACGGGAGCGAATCCGAGTACTGCGAGCCCGAGCGCGCCGAGAACGGCGGTTGCGGGAGGCTGGTGACCGAATCGGACCGCCCAGAAAACAAGGGCTGCACAGGCGATTGCGAGTAATGGGACCCCGAGCGCGCGGAGAGCGGAGGCTGCGGTATGCTCGCAGGAGAGTCGGTGCGGAGGGAGAGCGGCGCGTTGACGGGTGACTGTGAGTAATGAGATCCCGAGCGCGCCGAGACCGGAGGCTGCCCGATACTTGCAGGTGAGTCGGACTGCGCGGCAGGCGGTGGCTGCGCATTATCCGCAGGGGATTCCGAGCGAAGAGAGAGCCGGGTCTGAACAGGCGACTCCGAGTAGTGCGAGTCTGAGCGTGCGGAAGGCGGTGGCTGCGCAGTACTCTCCGGCGAGTCCGAGCGGACAGACAACGGCGGGTGGACAGCACTCCGCGGGGACTGTGAATAGTGCGATTCCGAGCGCGCGGTGCCCGGAGGGCCTTCAACCGTGGAATCGGATGACAGCGTCCTGCGAACGGACTGACCGTCCTCGTCGTCGCTGTCATCGCTACCTCCCGCGAAGTTCTGCAGGAGCGAGAAACCGATTCCCGCGCCGCCATCCGAGAGCGCAACAGAGATGCGCGTACTGGGCTCCGAGTCGTCGTATATGCTGGAGTCGCGGTCTTGCGGGAAGCGTGATGTGCTCTCGTCGAAGGACTCGAAGCGGGGATCCACCGGACTGTCCGTGGCGAGCTGTTTCGCGAGGTCGCCGAGGTGTATGGGTGACGCCGCGCGATCACTGTCAGGCGTCGGAGGCGCGATGGTCGGACTGCTAGGATCATCGTTCGTGGGGGTGATGGGCGCAGAAGTCGAGATGGTAGTGGCAAACGAGGAGGCGTGGCTGAGCGAGCGCTCCGGATTAAGCGAGAGGGTCGGAGAGAGCGCGAAGATGGAGCCCGAGGAGGGTGCGGTAGAGATTCCTGGTGACGGGATATCGCGTGCGGCGACAGTCAGCGCGCTCGCGGAAGAGCCTGGGCGGGAGATGGGGCAGGACATGGCAGTGCCGTTTTGTGAGGACGGGTTTCTTGAGGCGGCCGTGGAAGCGGACAGCGTCGGCCACAAGATTGCCCACGACGCCCTCGCAGTAGCCCTGCGTATATTCAGCGGTGTTCTCGAGCGCGAAGAGAGGTTAGCTTACGAGGTAGGTGTCTGCCTTGCCGGGGACTTGCATGAGCACTGTGATCTCGTCGTCCTGCGGGTTGGAATCAGCACAATGCCCGGCGTTCACTTAACACAACAACAACGGAAGAATGACCGGCGAATAAGAATGCGGTCGGTCGGGTGAAACAAACACGATGGCGGACAGCGCGCACGGACATATCGTATCCGGGATACCTCACGAGCCTCTCTGTATGCTCTCCCACACACTGTCGGTGGTTCCGAGCACACCGCGGCACTCGTGGACACCTTGCACACGTGCAACGGAAGCTCACTGGACAGGTATATGCGCGGAAATGGCGGCGAGTAGTTGGATATCCGGGGGAGCGGTATTTACGCGATCGCAATCATGTGGAGAGGGGAGCGTACCTTCATGAACATCAAATCCTCCGCCTGCTCGGCAATGCAGTCTTGCAGCGCCGTACATTTCCCAATCCCGCCCTTTGCAGCAAAACGAGTCCACCTTCCGAGCTCGCTCGCGTCCATGTTTGGGTTGTAGCGGATGAGGGGGTATATCCGGGTGGTCGGTATGCCAAGCCAAGCTATTACAGCGAACGAAAGGAGCGTCGGGTGTTCAAAACACAAGCCAAGACGAACGAGTGCAAGACGGAAAGCGAGAGGGGACAGAGAGCGACAGCGGATGAGATGAGAGAGAGGGTCGAAGAGGATGACGGCGAGGCACAGACAAGGACAGGTACCAGCTAGTTGACAGCTTACTTGGAGCGCCTATCGCTGTTAGATTGACAGACTTACTGTTCTAAAGATCAATCTAAGCCCTGCTTCAATCGGATCTAACCTCTCCGAGCGCCCGTTTCTCATCCGCTCGTCCTTCGCTTTCTCTTCCATCTCCTCGGAGAAGGGAAGGGCTTCGTGCACACACAGCCTCAGCGCGGATAGAGCGGAGAACATCGTCTGCATCTGCTCTCCTCAGTGAGTACTCCTTGACGTTCGCCTGGATTCCGCTCGTCCGCCTTCGCGTCTCTTGTCGGGATGTGAGGCGTGGACGTGCGAAGCCTGAAAATCGCCGAACGTGCTCTTCTCTGACCAGATCTATCTCCCAGCTTGTCAATACACTCATGTCTTCTATACGCGACTATTTTAGTGCCAAGCTACTGGACCAAACCCGAGTCCGCAGTCCGAGTACTCGAGGCCTGAGCGAGGCCTTTCGGGCTACAAAGTCAGCATCAAGAGGCAGCGCAATCTCCAATGTGCAGACAACGACGGCCAGGGTCCCTCTCGTCTCTCGGCAACATGCACTGAAGGATCCAGGAAGTCTGTGCATTCTGCCCGATCTCGAAGTGAAAATGTACGTCCGCCGCTCTCCCGCGATGCATTCAGCATGCTGGTGGCCCATCTTGTGGCCCATCCTGTGGCCCATTCCAATGCGAAACTCAAAGGCGACGGTATCCTATGCGTCCCAGGTCAACACACCCGTCGCATGTCATTTTCTTCGCGCCCAATCCCGCATGTCATATCCGCTCACACTCTTAGCCCTGCTTGCGACCACGGCTTATCCCGATCTCTCCCGGTTCTATCGAGTGCGCGTTATTCGCGGGAGTTGATCAGAATCTCCTCCCGCACGTTCACATACAACGCCGTCGCTTTCGGAGCCTGCAACATCTTCCTAGCCGTCTACTTCGTCCTCGAGACAATAGGCGCTGTCCCCCGAAAAGATGCGCAAACGGCTGCAGGGTAAAGCAAGCCTGGTGCCAACGAAAGGGCGGCCTTCACGAGCCTTCACGAGAAACAGCGTGAGTTAGCATGCACTCTTGCCTGGGTAAAGCACGCGTACGCCTTCGCCCCATCTGCCCTACAGGTTTCTACTAGTCTGCGATAAGCGTCGTCTTGACATGCTTTTTTATCCAGGCATGCGACCCTCGATATTTCGCTGTCGCGTATACAGATTCGCCTCGGGACACTGCCCTTACTCTTGCTCTGTGTTCGTCCCTAGGGTGGTGGTGCAGGGATAGTCCCTCCGTGTCCATCCCGTCGTCCACATTGCGCACATCGCACGCATACACCCAGCCCTGGCGCGGACTGTGCATGACGTATGGGCGTCGTGTGATCTTGGTTCGTCTTGCACCCTCCCCGCGTTCGTACATGAAGCGCATTGGCCTTACTAGCTGGCCACCGCGGGCCCGAGCAGCGACACGATACTTTGCATGTGAGAACCTACGCCCACCGCTGTCTTGTCATACACTAACAGAATTGTAGAATTCTTCCATTCACTGAGCAAGCGGCCCATCTTACGCACCATTCCGGCGCGACGCCTCTCCATACTAAAACCTAGGTCTGGACGTCGCCTGATAGACGTCTACGGAAAGCACCTACTTCAAGTTCCGAGGCCTCTCAGCCATCCACGCAAACTCTCCTTCCGATGCCACGCTATGCCCCATCGACGCCCCGTATCAGCGCATGCGTCCCTGGCGCAGGCCGTGCTCTATCGCAGGACCGGCCCTGTCTGGCGCGTACGCCCTGCAAAAGTCAGAGTGTTCGTACTCACGCCGAGCCCCGACTCAGAATTTCGCGGCATATTCCTATCCGACGTCGTCGAGATGCGGGATACGAGATGCTTAAGAGTTAGTAGGTGAGTACTGACTTCGGCCGCGGAGCTTTCGGGCGTGCTGATGGATATGCTACCTCCGCAGGGTACAGCGCATACTGGCAGGTATACTCCGTTGCTTACGTTTGGGCAACCCCGCGCATCCACTAAACGTAGTGGAGCCCGTGACGCGTGCGCATAGGTCGCCAGAGCTCAACAGTCCTCGCTTACCATTGCTATGCAACGTTCCTCACCGGCTACCGCGCGCTCGAGGCGCAACGTGCGGGAGGTACGAACACAGGCTAGAGGCTGCGAGAAACGATGCGGGGGTAATGTTCAATCTAACCTACATGCCACTCGAGCGCTGATCTTCGCGTTAGTTTACACTCTGATCGCGCCAAAATCGCGTAAAATAGTGGTTTTGCGCGCCCGGGAAGACCGGCAGGCATCTAGCTCTGTCCAAGATTCTCTGACCTAGGTTCCGCGGTGGTAAGTAATATCCCCTACGCAGAACGAGTCTCGTTGACGTATCTCGACGCACCTCAGCGAAACGCCGCGCTCACCCCGCACGCGGGAAAACATTAGCACAACCGATCTCGTAGGTTGCTATGCGTGTTGTTCTGAAAGTCGAAGGTGTGTGCGTTGTCGACGAAGTGTTCTCCGCGCCACTCACCTTGACCGAGAAGAGCTACGACCTCGGCGCATGTACCCAAATGTTATACGCTCCTCCACGCACACAAGCACCGTGTCTACGCATCAGCGGCTTGCGTAGCGACGCGACTCGCGCTCGGTAGCGCTCGGACCAGTCCCCATTGTGCGCCGTATCGAGCGGCGGTGGCGTACATCCGCCTTTGTCTCTTAGCCACCACGCCACCCGACCTCCCGCCTCTAACCGAGGCAAGGTGTAAAGCTACAAAAGCCTCATCGTCGAGCGTTCTGTAGCCCCCAAACGCTTCCTTTCTACCGCG